AAAAGAACCAAGTACTATTCCTAAACTAAATATATTAATAAATAAATTAAAACTTAAAGCTCAATTCACAATTTAAGAGCAGTCCTATAGTCTGAATGAGTCCCCCTAAAATCCATGTTGAAAATTAATTACCAATGTCATAATATTAAGAAGTGAGAACTTTGAGAGCTGATCGGGTCTTGAGGGCACCACCCTCATGAATGGGATTAGTGCCTTTATAAAAGAGCTTGAGAGAGCACGTTTGCCCCTTCTGCCACATGAGGACACAGCAAGGAGGTGCATCTTTGAAGCAGAGAAAATAAGCCTTCCCCAGGCACTGGCCTGCTGGCACCTTAATCTTGGACTTCTCAGCCTATAGCCCATGAGAAATAAATTTCTATTATTTAAAAATTACCCAGTGTAAGGTACAGTCATCCCTTAGTATCCATGGTAAATTAGTTCCAGGATGCCCCTCATCCCACCACAGGTTCATTCATAATAGAAATACTTAGCAGACTCAGAATAAAAAGGAAATTCTTGAACCTTATGAAATGTACAGCAAGCATCATACTTAACATTAAACTATTTCCATTAAAGTCAGGAACAAGAAAAGGATGTCTGCTATCACCACCTAGAGGACCTTGTCTTAGTCCCTTTTCTGTTGCTTGTAACAGAATATCTGAAACTGGGTAATTCATAGAGAAAGGAATTTATTTCTTAGATTCCCAGAGTCTGGGAAGTCCAAGGTTGAAGTGGTACAGCTGATGAGAGCCATCCCGAGGCAGCACAGGGCACATGGCCAGTGGGCTGAGCATGCCAGCTCAGGTCTCTCTTCTTATAAAGCCACTATTCCCATTCTAACCCATTAACCCATGAGTGGATGAATCCCCTCATGAGGGCAGAGGCCTCCTGATCCAATCACCTCTTAAAAGCCTCACCTTTCAACACTGTCACATTGGGGATTAAGTTTCAACATAAGTTTTGAAGGAGACAAACATTCAAACTGTAGCAGATCTAATCAATACAAAAAACAAGGCAAAAATTGGAAAGGCACCCAAATAACTATCTATAATTGCAGCAATATATCTAGCTAGAAAAAAAGCTAAAGTCAAACTACTAGAACTAATAGGAGTTTGGAAGAGTTGCTGGGTACAAAATTAACGTACCAAGGCATAGCATGCCTATACACCAACAGAAACAGAATAGAAAATGTAATCAAAAAAGAAATAACAACAAAAACCATAAAGACACGTTCACTGTGGAGAATATTACAAACCATTATTCTAGGATGCAAAAGACCTATTAACCAAATGGATTTTGAAAAAGAACATGAAGTTTTCAACACAATATAAAAGAGTAATAATCAAGAGAATATGGTGTTGATATAAGGACAGACATATAGATTAATGGAGCAAAACAGAGTACAAAATAAAAATTCCACATATATGGCAAGTGAATTCTGACAAAGGTGCCAGACTGAGGACAGGATAGTCTTTCAACATCTAGATACCTATATGACAAAAAAAAAAAAAAAAAAAATTAATTTTGACTCTCACCTTCACTCTATACAGAAAAATTAACTCAAAATGCACCACATAGACCTAAACTATAAAACTTCTAAAATAAAATGCGGAAAATCTTCATGAAATCCTGATGCAGGCAAAGATTTCTTAGATATCAAAAACACAAACCATAGAAGAAAAAAATGATAAATTAGACTTCATCAAAATTAAAACATCCACTCTTCAAAAACCATTAACAAAATGAAAAGGCAAGGCACAGGCTAGAAGAAATCATTCATGATACTTTGACAAAATACTTCTATTCAGAAAAAATACATGATACTTATAACTCAAAAATAAAAACCAAAATGCAATTTAAAAATGGACAAAAAAAATATAAAAGCCTGATAAATCAATCCTCCTAAAAGAACAACTATAGGTTCCGTGGACAAAACAAAAACAAAACTACTATCTGAGGGCTCTGGAGATTGAAATATAGAAACAATTTAGAGGAGAATTAAACTAGAAGTAAGTGATCCATATAGACTGAGCTCCCAATTTTTGCAGCCTTGCCTGAAGATGGCTGCAGTCACCACCACAAAGGCATAGGGCCAGCTACAACTCCAATGGAAAGATTGACATCTTTCTAGTCAGAGGAACTAGAAGAACCAGGAAAAGAAGCCCAGGATAACCAGGGTTACAGGAGAGTAAGGAAGAACTCTAAAAAGGAGAGAGACATAGAAGGGAACCCCCAGATTCTGTGTTTAAACAGCCTAAATCTACAGCTGATCTCTGACCATCCATGTACAGGATAAACTGAAAGCAGCCTAAAGCTAACACTTATAAGAACTGAACTGAGAGCTAAGCCATTGTCCACCACAAGCATGAGAGTTTGGTAGTCTAACCAAGTTAACTGCCTATGAACACAAAAACATCAACATCCTTTGGATCAATATAAAAGAATCCAGTCTCCAAAACATAACATTCACAATGTTGTGTATACACTGAAATTACTCAACCAAGAGCCAGGAAAATGTGATCTCATTTCAAGGAATAAGACAGTTAACTGATGTCAATCCCAAAATGACCCAGATATTATCACATATGGACTTTAAAACAGCTACTGTAACTGTACTCAGTGAGGTAAAGAAAAATATTAATAGGTTAAGGATAAATGGCAAAAAAATAGGCAATCTCATCTAAGAAACAGAAAATACAAAAACTAAGTAGAAGTTCTAGAAATAAAAAATATAACACATAAAAAATGAGCAAAAGATCTGAACAGACAACTCAAAAGATATACAAGTAGCCAATAAACACATTAAAAGATGTTCAACATCATTAGTCATCAGGGAAATGCAAATTAAAACCACAATAAGAAACCTCTACTTCAGAGGTCAGTAAACATTTTCTATAAAGAGCCAAAGAGTAAATATGTTAGGCTTTGCAGGCCATATGGTCTCTGTTGCAACTACCCAGCTCTGCTTTGTAGCAGGAAAGTAGCCATGGACAATACATAAAACTATTTACAATAACAGATGTGCTACATTTGACCCACAAGCCATATTATAGCTTGCAACCCCTGGTCCCATACCCAGAAAATGACTTAAATTAAAGCGACCGACAATACCAAACATGAGGAAATGGAACAAATAAAAATCTCACACGCTG